ATTGTGGGGAGGGGGGAGGGATAGAATTAGGAGATATACCTAATGTAAATGACGAGTTAATGGGTGCAGCACACCAACATGGCACATGTATACATCTGTAACAAACCTGCACGTTGTGCACATGTACCCTAGAACTTAAAGTATAATAAAAATAAAAATAAAAATAATTAAAAAAAATAAAAAGCTAAGATAATTATTTACCCAAACTTTGGTGAATGAGTGGGTGACAGTAGGGTTAAATCAAGGAATAAATGTTTGCAAAGCGAAAATTGTAAGAAGCACCCCCTACCACCAGAGGTTCAAAAACAAACAATAACAAATACAGTGGGCTCACTGAATGCTTTCATGCCACATTGTTTATTGCAAAGGCATCTGTATGATTCTTGCATACTTTACCAATTTTTATTTTATGATAATTTGTATATATTCATTCACTCATTCATTTTCCAACCTGCTTACTCCAATCCAGGGGTCACAGGTGGCCACAACTATCTCAGCAGCTCAGAGCGTTAAGATGGGAGCCAAACCTGGACATGACACCACTGCACTGCAGGACACACTCACGCTCATCCACACTCACTCATACTGGGACAATACAGACACACCAATTCACCTAAGTGGGATGTGAGAGAAAACCACAGTATTCCAAGAAAACCACCCAAATATGGAGAGAATGTGCAAATTCCACACAGACAGTGGGGCTCCAGCTAGAAATTGATTTTCTTCTTCAATGTTATAATGAAATAATGTTGAATGAAAACATGTTATTCAAGGACGGGGTATACTCCTGAAAATAACCCCAAGCAAAATAACTGGATGTGGCAGTTTCCCATCAAACTATCACTTAAAAGCTATGTTGCTGTTTCTTCAATTTCAGTCTCAGTTATGACCTTAGAACACTATAGCTCCAAGCAGTGACAACAGAAAACTGACAAAAACAGTATAAAGTTCATCTCAGAAATAACTATCTTTAATTACTCTCCTTGAAGTCATAAAAATACAAAGGTTAAATTTTAAAGCAAAAATGGCAGGCATACAATTTAAATAAACAAAGAACCACTGATTAACAATTAGTTTAAAATATCCTTCTAAAAAATATGCTTTTTACCTCATTTCTTTCAGTATTTCCATCTTAGCTGCCAGATTTTTCATTCTGGTATCTATACAGGTCTTCAGAGTGCTTTCTAAGTGATTAGTCAAATCCACAGCAGCTGCTTTCTCTTGCTGAAACAAAGAATAAGCACATCTTAGTGTGACCCAAATAGGAAACTGTATTTCTGCTATAATTTAAATAATTTTTGGCTGGACATAGTGGCTCACGCCTGTAATCCAACACTTTGGGAGGCCAGGGAGGGCAGATGGCTTGAGCTCAAAAGTTTGAGACCAGCCTGGACAACAAAACAAAACCCCGTCTCTACAAAAAAATACATGGGTGTGGTGGTGCATGCCTGTAGTCTTAGCTACTTAGGAGGCTAAGGTGAGAGGATGGCCAGAGCTAGGGAGGCAGAGGTTGCAGTGAGTCGAGATTGTGCCACAGCACTCCAGCCTAGGCAACAAAGTCAGATTCTGTCTCAAAAAAAAAAAAAAAAAAAAGTTTCCAAATTTGAATAAAATAGAATCCAGCTGCTGATTTTTATTTCAAATTAATATTTATTTTTAACTGCTTCAATTAAATAATGAAGGCTTTAATGATTCTAAGCAAACTATGTATTATCACTCTTGGCATAGCATTTCGGAATTTATTCATTCATCTTTTTTTGGTGCTATGTCTTTTTTTAAATTGTGGTAAAATATATGTAACATAAAATTTATCATTTTAACCATTTTAAAATGTATAGTTCTGTTACATTAGGTACATTCATATTGTTGTGTAATCATCAGCACCATCCATCTCCAGAACTTTTTCATCTTTCCTAATTATAACTCTGTATCTGTCAAACACTACTCCCTATCTCCCTTCCCCCAAGACCCTGGAAACCACCATTCAACTTTGGGTCCCTACCGATTTGACTGCTCTAGGAATTTCGAATAAAAATACTATACGCAAATATGCCTGTATTAATGTCAAGCAACAACTCCCTTTGGCACAGGGAGTATTTTCTAAGCAATAAAGAGAGATATTTCATAAAGATAAATGGGTCAATTCACCAAAAAGATCCAACAATTCTAAATGTATACTTGCATAATAACAGAGCTTTTTTAAAAAATCACAAAATCTGATAGAACAAAAGGGAATAAAACAGACAAAACTACAATAATATTTAGATTTCAATACTTCTCTCTCAGTAGTTGATTGAACAAGTAGAGAGAGAATCTGTCAGGGTCTTTCCCAGGCAAGCAAAAGCTAAGGGAATTCATCAGCACTAGACCATCTCCACAAGAGATACTTAAGGGAGGACAATACCTGGAAGTGAAAAGGATGACAATCTGTGATCATAAAAACACATGAAAGTACAAAACCCGGCCGGGCATGGTGGCTCACACTTTTTATTAATTTACTTTTTATTAAGTCTTAATTCTCATTGTCTTCATGTTGAGTAGGCTGAGGAGGAAGAGCATGGGTTGCTCTTGTCTCACAGGTGACAGAGATGGAACAGGTGGAGGGATAAATAAGTTCAATAATTTTAACTTATTTTAAAATTAAATAAGTTAAAATTATTTATTAAAATTTTGTAAGTTGAAATTATTTATTTAATTTTAAATTAATATTAACTTAAAATTATTTAACTTATTTAAAAATAAGTTAAAATTAAAATTATTTTAAAATAAATTAAAATTTTTACTTTTTTTTTCCAATAAGTTATACAAGGTATACAAGCAGGCACACCTTGTGTAACTTATTGAGAAAAATCTGTTAGTAAGTGGACCTATGCAGTTCAAACCTGTGTTGTTCAAGCATCAACTGTGTTTCTTTTCATACATTGTTGGATTCAATTTTCTAATTTTTTGGAAGGTTTTTACATATATGTTCATGACATATATTGGTTTGTGTCTTTCTTTTTTTATAATGCTGTTTTCTGCTTTCAGTATTAGGGTGATGCTGGCCTCATGGAATGAGTTTGGAAGTATTTCCTCTGCTTCTATTCAATGACAGAGAATTGGTATAGTTTTTTCCTTAAATGTTTGGTAGAATTTACCAGTGAACTTATATAGGCCTGACACTTTCTGTTTTGGAAGCTTATTAATGGTTGATTCAGTTTTAAAAATAGAAATAAATCTGTTCAGATTATTTTCATGTGAGTTTTGGCAGATTATGTCTTTCAAAGAATTAGTTCATTTTGTCTAGGTTATCAAATTTGTGGGCCTTGAGTTGTTCATATTTTTAATTTTACATTTTTATATTTAATTTTAATGTTTTACATTGGATCTGTACTGATGCCCTCTTTCATTTCTGATATTGGCAATTTGTGTCCTCCTGTCTTTTTTTTCTTAATTAGCCCGGTTATAGTGTTACCAATTTTATTCATCTTTTCAAAGTATCAACTTTTGGTTTTGTTGATTTTTTTCCTCTTGATTTCCTGTTTTCAGATCGATTGATTTATACTTTCCTATTTTTGCATATTTAAGATTTAATTTGCTGTTCTTTTTATGTTTCCTAAGGAGCAAACTTAGATTATTAATATTAGTTTTTTTTTCACTTCTGATATATATGCATTTCAATGCTGTTAATTTTTGTCAATGCACTGCCTATGCTACATTCTACAAATTTTGGTAAGTTGTATTTTTATCTTGAAAGTATTTTTAAATTTTTCATGAGATTTCTTATTTGACTCATGTGTTATTAGTAATGTTGTTTAATCCTTACATGTTTTGAGATTTTTTTTCAATTATCTTTCTGTTATTGATTTCTAGCTTATTCTACTGTGGCCTGAAAGCAGACATTGTACGGTTTCTATTCCTTTAACTGTTAAGGTGTGTTTTATGGCCCAGAATGTGGTGGCGTATTTTGGTGAATCTTCCATATGATCTTGACAGGAATGTAGATTCTGCTGTTGTTGGATGAACTATAGTTCACCCTCGAATATGAGTTTGAACTACAAGGGTCCACTTATATGTGGATATTTTAAATAAAAGTTACATCAGTTATGCCTGCCGCTCCTGCCTCCCCTTCCACTTCTTCCATCTCTGCCATTGGTGAGATAGGAACACCAACCTCTCGTCTTCCTCCTTGTCCTCAGCCTGCTCAATGTGAAGATGATGGAGGATGAAGACCTTAATGATGATCCACTTCCATTTAATGAGTAGTAAATATATCTTCTCTTCTTTATGCTTTTCCTTGTATCTTCTTTTTTCTGGCTTACTTTACTGTGAGAATACTGTATATAATACATATAATATACAGAATACTTGCTAACTGATGGCTTGTCTTATCAATAAAGCTTCTGGTCAACAGTAGGCTATTAGTAATTAGGTTTCTGTGGAATCAAAAGCTACACATAGATTTTCAAGACTGTGGGGGTTGACACCCCTAACACTTGCTTTGTTCAAGAGTCAGCTGTAGTCTGTAGATGTTAATTATCCACTGTAGACTATGGATGTTAGTTATATCTAATTTATTGGTATTGAGTTCAGATGTATCTTTACTGATTTTTCATGGTAGATCTGTCCACTTCTGATAGAGGGATGTTGACGTCTCCAACTATAATACTAGATTTATTTATTTCTCCTTGCAGTTCTGTTAGTCTTTGAGTCATATATTTTGATGCTCTATTATTAGGCACATACAGAGAATTGACCCCTTTATCATTGTTTAGTGTTCCTCTTTATCCCTGAAAACTTTTCTTGCTTTGAAGTCTACTCTGTGTGAAATTAGTGTAGCTCCTAGTGTTTAGTACCTATGTTAATTTGTTTCCCTTTGATTAGTGCTAGCATGGTATATTTTTCTTCATCTGTTTAATTTAATTTTATTTGTTTTTTTGAGACAGGGTCTTACTCTGTCACCCAGACTGGAGTGCAGCGGTACAATCATGGCACATTGCAACCTTGAACTCCTCTCAAGGATAGATAGACAAGCTATCCTGCCCCTGCCTCCAGCCATCCTGAGCTAGCGACCCTGCACCACACCCTGGCATTTATTTTTTCCTTTAAGAGATGGGGTCTTGACATGTTTCAGACATGGTCTTGAACCCTGTCGGCAGAGTCTACCGCCTCAGCACTCTCCAAGTATTGGATACCAAGGTGGAGTCCACATGCCCGACCACATTTATTTATCGTAGGTATCTTTAATAGTTAAAGTAGGTTCGGTAGACAGGTAGATTAGAATCTAGCATTTTCATCCTATCTGACAGTCTTCTTTTTTTTTTTTTTTTTTATGAGACGAGGCTTCCGCGTGCCCCAGGCTGGAGGCATGCCGCGACTCGGCTCAGCTGCAAGCCGCGCCGGCCCCGGGTACGGAAAAACATTCTCCTAGCCTCAGCCCATCAACAACCGAGTAAGACTGGGACTGCCAGGCCCACCACCAGGTTGAGCCACAACGGCTAATTTTCTTGTATTATTAGTAGAGACGGGGTTATCACCGGCGGTCAGCCAGGATGTCTTCGATTCCTAGACCTGTGATCCGCAGGCCGTCCGAGCTCAACACCAACAGGCTGGATACAGACTTGAGC